TAGTAGGCAATGTTATATCTTACAATCATAAATCAACATTCCAATAGCAATTGGTACATCTGTCTCTCCTGGAATTATTGCTGGCTCAAAATGCAGTTTTAATGCTTTTGATACAGGTGTATTTATAATATTCTACAAGAAACATTTTGTTTGCTTAGTAATATTATTGCCCGGAATTACTATTGATTTTCCTTTATAAATCGATTCTACACTCGAAAAGATTTGAATCACTTACCACAACTTTAATTGCTTTTTTTGCGGAATTTTTTAAAGCAATTGGGGTGCGAATAGGTGGTTGTAACGATCCACCCATACCTAAATTAATTATTCCAGAACTTCCACCCCAATGAAGACCAGCTCCACTTTTGACTTCTACTTCAACTGCTACCACAAGAATCTCAGCAGTATTATTTACTTTAAATCTGCAACATATATATATTGCCAACACACTCGATTATATATATTAAAACACTTTATAAATACAGTTATTCTACATTCTAAGTGCTCACCTAACATATGCTGTATAATTCTTTTCTGCATAAGCATTAAAAGATAATCTGATGATAGGCTTCGTTTGATAAGGTAAAATTTCCCATAATTCACGAGTGCCTTCCGGCTCGCCTGATGGCAATTCCAATTGAAATTCTCCGCCACTACTATATACTTCCATCACCTTCGTTTTTGCAACGGATAAAGGAAATATTAGAGATTATATAATGTGACTGATACATAATCCATTATATATATATATAAATAATAATTCTTATAGATAGTATTTTTTTATCCATGTAGTTAATATTTACATACTTGTAAAGCTTCTGGATGCGGATTGTGCATATATATAAGTGGTGTAAAAGATGCATTTAATGGTAACTTGATATCAACTACAGGTCTGAGTCTATAAGGACTACTGACACTTATCCCTTTGACCTGCGGATTAAAAAATACTTTATTGCAAATATATATGTATCTAATATTAATACTATAACTGATCTAAACTTTTATTACCTGATACTTTAGTGTCCCATGTGAAGTATGTATAAAAAGGTGTGTATCAATGTCACCTTCATCTCGACCAAGGAATATTACATTAAATGTTGTATTCCCGAGCGGAGGAATTACCTGATACAAAAAAGATATTAATTCTATAATTAAATATACACAATTTCTTTTAAGTTACATATAACGTGAATTGGATATTTAAAAATTATAAATTAGCGCGCGAGTATTATAAAGCATTACGAGTATTAGATACATCTGTGCTTCAATTTATCTATTTTTTGCTTCGAGATTACTGTCACATCGTTCGATAACTTACTTTGTTTTGAAAAAACGACGAATGGAAATGACGTGTATTTCCCGATATTGATGAAAGATGTACAGTTCTATTGTGATCTTTATTAAACATGACCACAGTTTCTTGGTGCGGAATACCAAGTTGTCTAAAAAATTACATTATAATTTAATTTCTACATGATTATTGAATTGCGCGAAATACTATTTAAACAATACCTTTCTTTGAAGTCCAAGATATTTGGCTCAAAAGAAATGTGAGAGAATGAATCTTCCATTTTGTCTTCGTCCGATGCAGCATCCCTTAAAAAACATGACAATGCCATTTAACAATTAATCGGTACATTTTGAATGTAGTATTTCTTAATAGTGGAAATTGGAAAGGTATAAGAAAAATTTCAAATAAATTGATATAATTAAAATCTCTAATTTTTTAAATATATATTTGTTTACTTTTTAAAATATATGTAATGTTTGGCTGTGTAATACCTTGAAAAGGTTTGTTTAAATCAAATATATTCTAATTAATTCCCTTTTTTAGAACATGGGACATAAAAAAAGTTCAAATTATCTAATCTTTGGTTTGCTAATGGTTTTGCAAATCACCTATGCTTAGTGAATGTTGTTATTCATAAATCAAGTAAAAGTGTGACAATAAAACTTTAATAAGTTAATTTTAATAGTCGCAAATAAAATGTGCTAGTAGATATAGATTAAGTATATGCCAACGAAATATCTTCTTATATAATACAAAAAAGTTTACAAGGTTGTTCATAATAGGTCAATCGCAAGATGAATATCAGAAAGAAAAATTTTATAATAAATACCTTTCCTATTTCCATTCATAATTATTTTGAGTTTTATGCTTACCCAGCATGTACCGTATTAGCAAAGTCCTATAAATAAAAATAAAAATTTCAATATAATACCTTCACTTTTTGTAAATGTCTTATTTTAAGAAAGAATGATTATTCAAAAATTAGATTTGCATTTTATTTATTACTATTTTTACTTCTCCATAAATAAATTAATACAAAATTTTTTATGATTACAGTACTTGTGTTAAGTATTCTTCTCGTAAATATTTTAACGTTAATATAATTATGTAACACATCGCGTATAGCAAAATGACTAACCTTATGTATAGATATTGGCATATTATCCAAAAGATATTGAACATCGTTGTCATCTTGAACAAAGGCTACAAAGTACAAAAATTTACATATATACAATTCAAATGTGTCGCTGCAATATTTCAAAAGTGATACAACTTAAAAAATTAAGTTTCTTTAAGAAAAAGGAAAAATTTATTTTTCAACAGAAAATTTATTTCTATTATCGACTAATTAAATATCAGTCAAACGAGTATATTCTTAAAATAATCAAATATCATTTTTATTTCGCAACCTTTACATTTAAAAAATTATTCTCTTTGGGTTGTGACAATTTTGATTACTTTTTACAAAGTTATGTAATTTTTAACAATTGATAGGCTAATATTTACTTAACTCATTCATGGGTAATAACACTAATAAATCGAAAATCATGTTTTTTTAATTATGAAAGAAGAACATTTATTTACTTCTAGCTTTATATATCAATCAAAGGGATTTGATTTACAAAATATATTTTAACATATTTATTCATCCATTCACATATACCTACTTATTCTAAACCTTTCATATTTTTAAATTCTCTCTCTCCCTCTATCTTGCCTATTCCACTCACTAATATCATACATCATCAGGCGTTCCTTTAGTTATATCATTTTTTAAATAAGGAAGCGATTACACAACTTTGAGGGCTGCGATCCAATTCACACACATAACACTTATAAAATCATTTATCCTTGTTTAATATTAGATAAATAAGGATGAAATAATTCTTCAGTGTCCTAGGATAAATCAGACCATAGTCAAGAAGTATGACTAATGGGCTATCTAATAATACACATTCTACAATAAGCAATTTATAATATATCAGAAATCAGAAACTAAAAATTGACCAAACATAGTCAATTATTCTTCTTGCATTGATTATGAGTGGTCAATTGCAATGTTGCAGGAATGTTTCAAAAGGTTTTCTGCTTACTGGGTAAGGTGACAAGTAGGGCTTGAGGTTATACCGTTCCTTCATCGTTATTATGATAATTACTCCAGGAAATTTGGAGAGTGAAAGGTGGGAACCGTCGATAGACAGATAGACAGAGGGTTGGAGAGAGAGAAAAAAAGAGGTGCGCATCGTCGAAATGCGGATCGCGTGACGCGCGAAGCTCGCGGCGCGACATGACCTTCATCGTCGCGATAGGCACATCGTCGATGGGTATCTCGCGCGGGGTCATGGAAGCTTAAAGCGCGGGAGTGGGTCTTATCGCGCCTTGCAACGGGTTCGTTTCGCGTGCGCACGCGGGCTTGTTATTGTTAAAACGCGGATCGCTTCGGCTACATCGAAATGCATCGAAATCGTCATGTGGCGAAGAGACGGAGAGAAAAGGAGAAAGAGGACGAGGAAGAGGGGGGGAGGGAGGGATGGAGAGAGAGAGAGAGAGAGAGAGAGAGAGAGAGAGAAAGAAAGGAGAGAAAGAGACACTCACCATTGTTGTGCAGCGACGGCCGGATTTGCGACGTCGCGTCCAATAGCGTCAACAAGAACAGACAATAGAACACCTTTAACTCGAGCATAATAACACCGCGGCTAATGCTGTTGCACTGCTGTCGCGTCCGCTGCTGTTGCCGTTGCTCGTTATTTTGTCTTTAGCGGACATGAGAATCCGCTATTCCGCTTTCGGCCATACTCCAGTACTATCGAAGCGCGCGATGCGCGATATCGATTCCGCGGTTCCGCTGGCGCGTCGCGGCCGTCGCGGTCGCGGGTCGCGCCGCTGGACACATGAATTCGCGGTGGGCAGCGCTAAGCACTAGAGATCCTCTAGATAGAGATCAGGCAATGCAGACTACTCCGTAATTGGCTGAATTGGCTATTTTGCTCTGTGTCATGTTGTTGTGAAAGCGAATGTGAGAGAGAAATCAAAAAGAGAAAGCATCGGTCTGCGCGGGGTGGGGTGATCCCGATTGATCACGGCTCGATTGGACACCACCAATCACAGCGACCAGGTGCCTAGGAGCTTTGTAGTCTCAAGCGCTGTGAGTGGCTCGTGTCCAGGGCTGCGTTCGAAAACATCACCCGAGTGTCTCCGTTTATCATCTTATCCTTGTTTAACACTGAGTGAACAACAAAGATAATACGATACGCGGGGGCACTCGGGTGATGTTTCCGAACGCAACCCAATTGAGTCGTGTCCAACTGGGTGCCACCCTTCAGCACCAAATATATATCTATTTTATTTTTAATGTAAAAAGTATAAAAAAGTGTAAGCAAGGCGAACGAGGGGTCGATTCTGTATCTTCAAACAAAGTGAAAATTACAAAATTTACTAGGTGTTGACCAATGAAATTATCAGTACTCTAGTAAATTCGCTCACTTTTGTAATTTTCACCTCGTTTCAAGATAACAGAATCGATCCCCTGATCTTGTTCCTGCACTAGAACTCTTTTTCTCGCTTTCGACAAATATCAAACATATATCTGTCTCATTTTAAGTACGATTAGTTAAGGTGAAACAAACTATAGCTATCTCATTTTAACTTTTTACGCCAGTGTACTTCAGTTCATGGTGGAGTGCACTGCTCCAGTTTGGAACTTGGAGTGGAAGAGAACAGACCTGTTGTGTACTTGCATTAATGATCATATGTGGTCGTATTGTACTGAACTATTGCAGTTTGGACGCTGAGGGAAGATTTAATTTACAAAATCTTATACAATTTTATTAAAAAGAAAGGAAAAGTGGTATATAAAACTTATACAAGAGTACTGGAATTGGAAATAGAGACGACCTTTTTACATGACCTGAAGGAGAAAGTTAAAGACATACTTAACCCCCTTCCGAAAGAAACTTAGAGGAAAAAAAGAATTGGATACTCCATTCATGTGATTATAAATTGATTATTGTAAATTATGACCACGTTTTGTATCCGAGTTTGATATTATTTTGCTCTGAATTACAAATATATTTTGTTACAAAACTTGAATTTGACATTTAAAAAATGGGTAAACCATCTTATGGTAAGAATTTTAATAGCTCGATATAAAAACGATGATTTAGTTCAATTTACGTAATTAGTATTTATATTGTTTAGGACAAAGAAGGGAAAAGGGGAAAACGTTATCTTGGATGTATCGAAAGAAGGCTAAATTGAGAAGGGCAAAAAGTTCTGAAGTAAAAGTAACGGATACCGCAATCATAAACGAACAGAATTCTCGAATAATTGTGAAGAATTTATCCTTTAAGGTATACATGTCTGAATATTTCATCCAACATAAAATCGAAAAATTAAATGCATTTTAATTTTAGAAGGAAGAATTCCATCTATTAATGTTTTATTATTTTCACATAAATTAATTTATTATATAATACTTATATTTTCTTAGGCAACAGAAGAAGATGTAAGGAGATTTTATGAGCCATTTGGTGAAATCAAAGAAATAAACTTTATGAAGCGTCCAGATGGGAATCCAGTGGGATGTTTCATAGACTTTAAACGTGTTGAAGATGCTTCAAAAGCAATATTTAATACGAATAAAAAGGAGTTTCTTGGTATTTATAAAATCAGGCTTAAAAAAAAAGTGATTTTGACATATACAAAACATGCATTGCTAATTTTAGGAAGGAACATAAACAGTAGCTGGGCTATATCAAAACTCAAATTCTCCGAAAAACTTGAAAAAAGTCTTACTGAAAATCAAGAAATTGATAAAGATGAAGGATCTTCTCAAGATACTCAAAAAGAAAATGATGACAGTAATAATACTCAGAAAAAGATCACAAATGAGAAGAATAACTTGAGAAAGCAAAAGATAAGAAAATTACACAAGATGAGGAAACAAAAAAAACGAGCCAGGATTGTAATAAGAAATTTAGCTTTTCAGGTATTTGTTATGTATTATGAAAGATGTTTTTTTTTTTTTTTAGTACTTTCGGTAACCTTTAAAAGTCTTCAATTTCTTCGTAGGTTACAGAAGTTAATTTGAAAGAACATTTTGCTCAATATGGCGAAATAGAGGAAATAAAGATTTTAACCAAACCTGATGGTAAACCAGCTGGAGTTGCGTTCTTACAATATAATTTTGTACAAAATGCTGCAAAGGCTATACATTATGCAAATATGCTACCTCTTTTAAACAGGCCTATGATAGTCGACTGGGCTGTTCCTAAAACAAAGTTTTCTCAAAATAATACAGATGTGAAGGTAGAAGTCAAAACTGAACCTATTGACGAGGATGAAGTACATAATATTTCAGAAATAAATGCATCTTCTAACAGTAAAAATGACGTTAGTGATTCAGATGCTGAATCAGATAGGTATCTAAAGTTTGAACTACGGTGCGTGCGTACGCACCTTATATATTATCAGGATTGGTATACTTATAATGTCACCGTTACTTTTTTTCAGTAACAATGTTACATTTTTTGTGTAACATTAATGATTTAACTAGTTACTTTTAATATTACTTTCTAATTAATTTCTAGCCAAAAATTAATTAGCTGCTGTGTTGACATATATGTAAAGGTCATTGAAATCGGTGAGATTGGTTAATCTAAAGTTTCATTAAAATTTGATTTTTTTATCAGGTTTTGAATCTTATTCTTTTACTAGAAGATAAAATTCTATGATTTTCTATTTATATTTACTGCAAAAATTTATATATAATCTATTAAAAAAAGTAAGAAGAATAGTAACTATTTGTTAATTTTTGAATAATGGCAACAAGTTACTTTTTAAAAAAAATAATGTAATGGCAACGAGTTATAAAGTAACTTTGCCAATCCTGGATATTATCTATATTTCTTAAATTGTTTATTTTAATTTTCTCTAAATAATTTGTTTCTCTCTGTCTTTCCTTTTTAAAAATAGTTTTACAATTTCTAGAGAAGTTACAGTGGAAAGTATAAAAGAGGAGACTGAATCTGATGATGAGATAAAAATACATGAAACAGAAGATACTGACGATGAAGATGAAAGTGATGACAGTAATAATGATAATGATTCCAATGTAATTAATAGATCTGTTATTAAGGAAGAAGACATTGATCAAGAAGAGAAATATTCTGTAAAACGTCCAAATCGAGTGTCTAATGATGTTAATGAAGGAAAAACAATTTTTCTAAAGAATATACCATTCTCTGTAAAAAATGACGAACTTAAAAAGTGCATGGAACAATTTGGACCTGTCTACTATGCTCTCGTGTGTATAGATCCTCTGACCGAATATTCTAGAGGCACTGCATTTGTTAAATTTCAAGTAAGAGTAGTTCATTCGATAAATGTTGACAATTTATCTTTAGATATATATTTTTAAATCATTTAATTTAATTTTATTTATCATTATTACAAGAAATATTTTATTGCGCAGCGTGTTGAAGACGCCGAAAATTGTTTATTAGCTGGAACTGAATTACGTTTACGTGACCAAATAATCGAAGCCCACAGAGCATTACGTAGAAATGAAGTTGAGGACAAAAAGAATTTAAAAGGAAAAAAGATTAAAGATTCTAGGAATTTATATCTTATCAAAGAAGGAGGTAATGATCTGATTGTAAAATATTATTATGCTATGTAAAGTAATTTTAACATCATCGTTGTTGATTTTTAGTTGTGCTGGCCAAAAGTCCAGCCGCAGCGGAAGTGTCAGTATCCGATATGGAAAAACGTTTGAAATTAGAACAATGGAAATCACAGATGTTACGTAACTTGAATATGTTTGTATCGAGAGTACGGCTGGCTGTTCATAATTTACCTTCCAATTTTGATAACGAAAAACTTAGACAGTTATTTAAAAATCACAGTGGTCCTAAGGCTATAATTAAAGAAGTAATTTTATTTAGAATATATAAGTGTTACTTTTTCAATGACATTTGAAATTATATAGGCATTAATTAATTTTATTTGCAATTTTTAAGGCGCGAGTTATGCGTGATTTGAAAAACATTGATGCGACGGGGAAAGGAAAATCAAAAGAGTATGGCTTTGTTACATTTACCTCTCATGAAGATGCACTTAAAGCTTTAAGAAGTATAAACAACAATCCAAATATATTTTCTAAAAGCAGAGTATGATTATAATTTTATTTTTATTATTATTAATCATTTCGACTTTTCATATATTAATTTATAAATTTGATATAGAGACCTATAGTTGGATTCTCGATAGAAAATCGTATCTTAGTGAATGCGAAAGAAAGAAGAATTCAAAAAAGTCGAGAGCACAATCCGTTGTGGTCTGGAAACAAAGATAAAAAGAAAAATGAGGACAAGAAAGAAGTTCCAACTAAACGAGTTAAAGTTAGAAAATTAAATGATCAAGAAGAAAAATCATATGCAGGCATGACCAGCAAATTCGGTCAGGATAAATTAAGATCAAACTTTAATCTCAAGTCACAAGCCGATTTACATACGATGACCGTAAAAAAGCAGAAGAAACTGAATAAAGCGGCTAAGCAATTGAACATTGTAAAACAAGAAAAGATAAAGAAAAGACAAGACAACGTGCCAGTAAGATATTAATTATAGTTTTTATATTTCATTTAATTTAAATATATGGCTAAAATAAATTTTTTGTAAATTTATTTTAGTTATATAGAATTTTTCGATTTATGGATTTTTTTGGCTGCTTTTCAATATTAACTGTCTGTCAGTGCTAAAAATCTGTAGTATATATTACGTGCATTATAAATTTTCACCATTGACAGTGAATATCGGAATACCGATTTTATAACACTTATGTCATTTTTTTTAGTTGAAAAAAGCGAAGAAGTTTGATACAGATGATGCAAATTTCAATAAGCTTTTAAATAATTATAGAAACAAATTAAAAGGAATTGATTTGAAAAAGTCGAAATGGTATGAGTCCTTGGCTGGATCTTAATATGTAGTAAGATAAAAAAAATTTAATAATATTTTGTACAATAACATGAACATTTAATTATGTAGCATATACATATATGCACTGTTATTTCTGTAATATACGTATAAGGTAAAAGAATGATTTTTAATAATTAGGAATTTTCTCTTTACCCCGTTGATTATTTAATTCCTACTATCTTGACTCCTATTAAATCATTTTGTCAAAATAAAATAATTATGTCAGTATTTATAGTCGGTTTTTATATTTGTAGGACTGTGTTAAGTACAGTCTTAAGTTGTTACAATCCATAAACCAATCGGAACCGTATTAAGAAATTGATTAATGAGCTTTCTGCAATAAGCTACTACCTAATCTTTAAGTCTTAAGTCGTAAGAAATTGACCGATTACAGTCGAATGTGAGAAGAATTGATTATGATTGATCAGTTTCTTACGGCTTAAGATTAAAGCTTAGATAACTGCTTATTGTAAAAAATCCATACAAGACATTACTTAAGACGGTCTTAAAATAAGAACTATGAACATAGCCTATATGTAGTTTATTCTTTCACTCTTCACAACATCGTATCTACAGATATGTGTCTGTTACCATAATATTTCCTTTTCCTGTATTTTTCCACACTCTTATTTGCGAGCAATATTCTATCAAGTATCTGAATATCAGATATGTATATATAATATACTTCATTCGACAAGCAAACTAAGTGTTTTATGGCGGAAGAAGTCTATGGTGGTGTCTCTTCCACCATGAGTCTTAGTTTCTCCTTCAAAAATATGAAACTTACTTGAATTTTCACTTTTTTTAAATAAGCACAACTGATTAGAATATGCAATTAAAACTGAGTACATTTCTTTTTGTTGCGCCTTTGATAATACACCGCGAATGCGTTTTCGTGACGTACATCATTAATAATTGATATAATATATTACAATTGCGACGATCTATGGGAAAGTTATAACAACGTGCAGCGAGTAACATTTTTGCATCAGGATAAAACAATGAATTGAGACAATAGAATCACAGTTATCTATAGATATAATACATTCCTCTCTAAATCGCGATATGCTTATCTTTCGTATTTTCCGGGAGTACCGTAGTCCTCAGAACATCGGCAACATGTTACTTATATTGCGGATGCGAATGAGTTCTCTCTTCTTCTCGCAAAATTCAGTTGAAGAATGTCCTATTCGACAATTCGCTATTCGCTCGTCGATGTTGCGAAATGCAACGGCAAAAACGGAGCGAGAACCTGGATCGTCATCCATGACAACATTTACGATGTAACGGATTATATGCAACAGGTACATAAATTATAAAATTGTATATTACAAATTGTATATTTTTACCTAAATGCAATTAAATTTTTTTTTACATATATTAAATTCTTTCAATATTCTATGTAAAATATAAAAAAAGCATTAAAATAAGATTAGAAAATAAATATTTTACATAATATTTTATATTTTGTGTAAAAATATATTAAAATATAAGATATGAGACATTTTGTGAATGATTAATTTTTTCATCACTTTATTTTAATGCCTTTATAAGTAAAAAAAATTGAATTATTTAAAAAGAACTTAAAAATTGTAACCAAAAAGTAGAAAATATCGATAACATTGATATCAAAATTGCACGTATAGAGAAAGAATATATAGGCGGGTCATTTTATATTTGACAGTTAAATATTTGGAAATTGTTGAGGTCTGAAAATATTTCAGACACACAAAAATTGTAGGGTTTTGAGGGGGAAAGAAGATGGTGACCACAGTTGATCTTAAGATGAAATTCCTCAAGGTTACATAAAAATTTTTAATATAATCTATAGAGGTATTTTTATTGCATATTCTAGCTTATTTCAAGACTGTAATAAATAGGCCAACTACATTGTTTTCTCTGTATATAAAATCTCAAAATTTGGCCGAAACGTTTGATCATCCTCTGTATATAAAAATAACTTAATAAATTAGATTTAACTTAATAAATTAAATTAGATTTAACTTAATAAATTAAATTAAGTACAGGGGGAAATATTATTTGCAGCATCCTGGTGGTCCAGAATTAATCGACGAATACGCAGGAAAAGACGCGACGAGTGGATTTGATGAATTCGGACATTCTTCAGATGCAACAAAGATGCTTAAAAAGTATTTGGTCGGTGAACTTGAAGATGTAAGCATTCATTAATTTTATGTCATTATCACAATTTAGCAAATCAGAAATCTCGTAAGTAGTATCCACGATTTTGTAATTTTCTTCCATGCTTAATAGCATGAATAGCAATGATCTAATGATCAGTTAGATAAAAACATTTGATTGTCTTTGTCTCATGTCTGATCATCTAATAGCATATGGCAGAGAATCCCGAAATCATAGACGTTACTTATAGGATTTGGTAACAACTAACTCGCGATCATTATCGCTCTCAGACTCTCTCTCTCTCTGGTATATCAAATTTTTCATTTTGTGGTATATGCTGTCGAATATATCGTGCTCCCTCTCTAAAGTTTGAGTACTCTGTGAAGTATAAATACGAAAAAACATGCAAATCTGCAGCTGTATGTGTATTATTAAATATTTGAGAAATGCTTGTGCAATCAATTGTTAATACTTGTAATAAGTTGATGCTTGATTTGTATCAATTATTAATTTAACAATATATACGTGTAATCATTTCAAAGTGGGTTCCCAAGCAGAACGAGTCATCATGATATCAAAATGATATCATAATAACTCCAAAATTATTATTAAAAGTCATTTTTCAATCATTTCCGATTTATTTTAATGTTATTTTAACGTTATCGTAACTTGTTGTTCTGCTTGGATTTAGATTGGATTAAAAAGAAGGAATCATTTCGAATTTTTCCGCTGTTCAGCCGATAAAGGAATCGCGAAAAAGTTATTTATTTCCACTATATAAAGATTAACAAAAATCATTTGGGTTTGCAACGTGAAATAAAAGGATGGTTGCGGGATACTTTGTACCCGGGAGTAATGAGTCTAGGAATGATTCTGGGCCTATATATTCTGTAACTGTTTTACACGCCTACCGACAGTTGTCGATGTCGTTGCGCAGATATTTTATATGGTGAAAAAGCCGCGCAACGACACCGATAACTATCGATAGGCGTGTAAAGACTATTACAGAATAGTGCCCCTGGTTGTTAGAAAATGTTTGTGCAATAACACATTTGGCTTTCTTCCATCATGGGTCATGTTACCTTATACGATACGCTGAATGTGACAATACCACAGTATATAATATTTACACGTTACAGGAAGATAAAAGAGTTAACAGAATGAAGAAGCGCGCTGCTAACGGAATAAAAATGAAAGGAGCGGATAAGCAAAAACAAAGGTATTCAATCAGTAATATTAATATTTATACTATTAATCATAATGCGAAAAAATGCTTATATCGCTTAATTTCACTAAATAACATACTGAATGGCACGAAAAACTTTATCTTTCCAAGAAGCAATTCTTCTATAAGAGGAAAGAAGCATACAAATGTTATACATACATGTAGTAATATACGAATTTTGTAATGCAGAAGGAATTAATTTAGTAATAATGCTTTGTAACAGTACGAGTTAATAGATTAAACACAAGCGTTTCTTATTATTAATTTTGCTATTTTTATATTTTAGGCCTTTCTTAAGGTTGATCTGCGGCAAATGTACATGTTAAAGGACGCGTTGTAAATATCAATTGCATAAATTATTTTAAATATATAATTGTATTTATCACATGTCATTTATGTTACATTCGCTATCTAAATACAGCGTTTATGACGTGTATGTTGTATTACCGATAAGAATCATTAAAATTAAAAACCTTATCGCTTGTACGTGACATTGCGGGCGTATAAGAATGAACAAGGAAAACCGATAGAGCTAATTACATCCATCAATACGAGTCATCTACTTATCGCATTCATGAATACTGTACAGTCAATTTTTTACTCAACGGAATTTCCATTGTTACAAATAATCTAATCTTATTGAGAAGTTTTGTGATTTAAAAACTTACTTTTTAAGTTAAGAGAGAGAGAGAGATTGACAAAGTTAATTAATTAAATTTATTTAACACAGAATTAAATATTAAATTTCATCCGACCGTACATGTAAGAACACAACCGATAGAAATAAATGCCTTCAACGGTAACTAGCTGGATCTTAAGCTAAGTGCTTGTATAATTCTGTGTGAATTATATATAGTACGCATGTAGTTCTTTAAATTACACGCCGAAATGATTTTCTGGTCTTAAAACACGAATTCTACCGCAGTAATATCACGAGTTAAATTGATATTAGCAATTTAACAATTTGATCCTTTTTCGCATCTTAAAACGATCTTAATAATGCTGAATGATGTTAAAATCTGTCAATTTTACGTAACACAATTAGCGCTTAATGCTTATTAACGTGAGTACATCATCAATAGATGTTAAAAATAAATACGGAATTCTATAAAAGGAGATATATTTAAGTTTAATAAGCTATATATTTAAATATTTAAATAACAAAAATATATAAATAATTTTTAATAGATATTTACTTAATTAATAAGATAAACGATACTTTCTAACAGAAGACACAGACGACACAGTGTAACACAGTGAATCATAGTATCTTTGTTGTTTGTCAATGTTAAACAAAGATGAAATGATCACTGTGTTACATTGTGTCTCTTGCTGGAAAGCACCAAAATGTTCAATTAAATCCAACCTCCTATTACTCGACCGGTCGCTTTTGACTTTCCTTGCAATTTTGTAGTTTGAACTGGTACTTCAAGCTTCTTTCTTGTTATGTCAGATTCAACACATTTTTCCGTATCAATTTCCTTATCTACTTCCGAGGTCTTCTGTCCAGTGTTATCACTATTATTTCCCTCTGTATTCTTCGACTGTTGGTACTTATAATTTTCCGTCTCTTTTTCCTTTTGCTCGTCTAATGTTTCTCTTCCGCTTGTTACTTCATTTTCTTCTCGCTGTTGCTCTTGGACATTTTCCGTTTCTTCGACTTTTTTCTCTTGATTGAACGTAGCAGATGATATCGATTGCTTGCTTATTTCTTGTCCTACGGAATCCTCGAGTATATTCTCTTGATTGAACGTAGCAGATGATATCGACTGCTTGCTTATTTCTTCTCCTGTGGAATCCTCGGGTATAGGTGATGGTGATTTACCTTCAGCTTTAGCAATGAGTCCTGCTTGTTTGTTCACACTGTTTGTAGACTCTAATAGACTTTTCTTAAACGTTTCAGTGGCCGGTCGTGGAATCACATTTGTAGAAGGTTCCGTTATCATAACTTTACTGCTTCTTCGAGGAGCCTCCTCAGTTTCATTATCATTTGTATCTGCGAATGAATAATATTTAAATAAAAAATTATAAAATTATATAAGGTTCTTAGTCGATGAGAGAAAGCATTGGAAGGATTCAAGATTAAAAAAGTCTCATGCAATTATTTCAAAGTTAAATAGGAATTGTAAGGAAGTACATGTCAATTTGTTAAATTTTTGATGAGAAAGTTAATTTAAACTTGACAAAAAAATTCATATATCGAAAAAAGATTGATGCAAGATACTACATGGAATTTATTTCGACATCTCTGTGAAGTTTAAATTGGAAATCAAAAAGGTGTATCAGATAACATCAATGCTAAAGAATTTAAACATAAATGTACCATCGAGCTGCTCATCCGGTTTGTTTTTGCTTAGCATGAACTTGGCATAGGCTATTCTAGTAATCGGAGTAAAGTCCGAGAGATTCGGATTATAGTCGAGCAGCCGTTTCGGATCCATGGACGCTAGATCGGAATCCGGCTGGTGTCTCAGTTGGCGACGTAAACTACGCCGGGTTTGACGTTGCATCGCTTCATTTGTACTTCCAATAGGATCCATGGCGATGGTGCTTTGCCTTACTACGGCGTTCCAGTCCTTTTTACCGACTCCGCTCCCTTTCCGTCCAATCGCCTTTGCGATTTGACTGAACACGTCCTTTGGCTCTTTTTCACTTTGAATAACAGCCTGCACGATGCCCTCCACAATACCGATCTGGAAATCTTTCTGGAGTCGACGTTCCATCACTTTGCCTTTTTTTCCGGGTACTTTAAAAGTATAAAAAATTATATTTTGTAAGTGTACTTGCTTTTAAAATGCATTACTTTAAAATAGTACTCGCAATGATCTGCACATTTTTGGGCCGATTTCGTAGGCGACGTTTACTTTCTAAACATTACCGTTTACCGAATTGATCTGGAAATCTACTCTCTAAATCTTTTGGAATGAAAATTGAGCTAATCTTGAAAAAAAGAGTGAAAATTTTGATCAAGAATGGCAGATTTTCATTCTTTTTTAGAGTAAAATTTCACTCTTTTGGAATGAGAATCACTCCAAAGGAATTATGGAATTTTACTCTTTTTTTTTTGGAGTGAGACTTCATTTCTTTGAGTGAACTTTCACTCTAAAAGAGTGAAATCTTACTTTTAGGCGAATCATTCAAAGAGTTTGCGAATTCAGCGCTTCCGAAAATCAGCGAGTAAATTCGAGCGAACTCGACACGAAGCGAGACAAATGAACGATCTGAGTGATCGAAAAGAATAGCTGGAGCAAAATAATAGAAAATGATCCTCCTGATTTTCCACGAGGTAAAATACGTTTATGATTGATTATTATATAAATATTGTAAATGATAGGCAGGGTTGAGAACATGTATCTATGTCCGGACACTTACACAAAATTTATTAACATTATTAATCTCAAATGTTTTTAAATTCGATATTATAATTTAATTGTAATTTTTAAATGTAACTAAATTATAATATTGTAATAAAAAGAGCATTTGAGATTAATAATAATAAATTACATATGTGTAAAAGTATCCGAACATAGGTACACGCACCAGCAGAAATGGTCATTTCTGCCGGTGCGTGTACATGTCCGGTCATTGGGATGTTTACCTTATATAAAATATTAATAAAAGATAAAAATGTTCAAAGATAAATACGTTTCTAAATATATCTTATAGTTTATTTATACTCTGTCTTAGAAACCTGTTTTACCATTTTAAAAAGTGTAATTATACAGAAGACAGGTTTATTCATCGATTTTGATGAAATTAAAACAAATTTCCTTATCTTAATAGTCATCAACTTTAACCATTAATCTCAGTTTACCGGACAGAATGACACTTATTTTTCTGCCAGATTCGTTCATTTCGTGCAAAAATGCGTCAAACGACTCTAATTTCATCAAAATCAATGAGTAGTAGGCTTCCTGCATAATTACAAAAAAAAGTAACGAAAAGTAATGATTTTTTATCGTTACTTTTAAGTAACGGTAACGTGTTGCTTTTAAAAAGTAACTTTCCCAATCCTGATAATAGGTTTATTACATGTAAATATACTGACTATTTGTTTCTTCTTTGTCGAGCATTGGTGTGCACATTCCGTTTTTCCTAAGGATATTGATCAGATCATATCGGAAACTTGAAATGTCCTGGCGAATTTCCCTGACATCATCCTCCGTAATACCAAACTCATCTCGTTTCCTTTGTTCGGACGTCACATAACGACGTATAAGTAGACGCACTACAGTGTCATGTCTCATCATAGCTTGCTCCCGAGACTTTTTCTGAAATAAAATAATTAAATAATTTTGTTTTGAATTAATAACTATTATCAATAGTAAAATGCGTCGAGTAACTTCGATATTAATGAAAAAGGGATTGTCTGATATACGTATTCTTTCAGCCAGCGTAAATACAATTAAACGTAAAGACTCTCGAAATTGTCAATAAAATTGTCAATTTTTTATTTTCTATATATTATTTTAAATAAAAAATTTGTTAAAATGCAATCCGTTTAAAATTAACTGAAGAATACAATTTTGTTATTTTACTTTTTGTAATAGGATATCATTCGTCAAAAGTTTCTTATTTATAATCATTAAATATAAAATTATACGTACAAAAATGAATTGTAGCTTTAAGTAAGTTTTGTAAATTTTTTTGAAAAATGTAAATGGGGCAAATGGAATTAATGAAAAGAACATTCTGTTTCATAATACTTTAATAGATAAAAATTGTTTACTATAAATGATCTTGTGGAATGATTGCTGCTTCCACATTTGAATAGCTTTCGCAAAGTTTTATTTGTTGGAATCATATTAAATGGCGGTGGTACAGTATCGCCATCCTCGAAATAACTCATCCATAAATTGCTCCTGGCAAATTTCCATTCTGTATCAGATCTTTCCTAAAAATATACAATTGATGTGAGATGTTAAACGTCAATTTTAACAAAGAATATTGTGTAAAAATTAAATAATTATAAAAATTACTATAAAAATTTATAATATAAAAATTAATTAAAGAAAAACAAGAGATTTATGTGTTTAAATTAAATATAAATATAAAAGGCTTAAACGATAATCTATTTAAATAACTTGAAAGGAATATACCCTCATTGAGAGAAATTTACTCCTTTCTGAAAAAAATTCGCAAATTTCTTCTTCAATTTGTCCATACAGAGATCTCTTGTCCTTCCTTGAATAATTTTTATATATATTTACTGACAAAATATCCTAAAAAAACTGACTGATTCTACCGAAATGATTTGATAAGAATTAGACATCATAGCAATCAACATATTCAATAGCACAATGATATTTATCACGGAATAAGAACCAAACATGAGGAGCGCCCAGAATCGTGTAAAGCTCTTAATGCCTGTCAGGTCGAACGACATTAAATCAACCATGCCGAAACTTGCCCAAAAGAGAGATTGTGATGTCTCGAACAAGCTGAAAGCACAAATCAAATTAAATCTCTCGTCGGAAATCTCTATGGAAATGAGTATTTTCGGTCTCCGTACTTGGCAAATCTTCTCCATATGGAGCAGGCTTTCTCCTGATTATCGAAATCCGGTTCGTCGGATACGTGATAGCATTTCCTTTTTTCTAAGTCCGCATAATACCACATCAACTGATTCATGCCTAAAATAAAACATAAAATTAAAACGTCGTTCTACCTTACGTTTTT